TAGAAAATGTAAATAATTGCATACGATATGAATCATAAAAGCTGAATATACCAGTCAAGTTGAATGTTTGCAGTTCAAATAGTCACAGACGTAAGAGGCTCTTGATTTCAACGAATCACGCTGTTTTAAGCGCATTCAGAACATTCAAGTGGGTTTGTACAACACTGAATGGAGAATCAATCACATGGATTCGTACAAAATTAAGTACTAAAAAAATCTAAATCCCCATTATTCTGCACGAGAGAATATTGCAGAACAGTTTCAAGTTTTCACAAACAGCACTTGTACATACATAATGTTTAAAAATAAAACTGTGAACAAGTTTTAAAACGGGTTACGTTTTTTTGTAATAGTCTAATCGAACTAAATGCCAATAGCTTTTCAGCTATAATTTAATGTATATAGGTGGTTCGGAACCCTACTTAAGGTTAGCTTAAATAAACTATACACAGTAAATTGTGTAAAGTTTCAAAACTGTCTGTGCATAAACCACCAAGTAATTTAAATCAAACGTCTAAGCCTCTTCGTGGGACACCCTGTGTAATTCGTAACAGTTTTGAGGGTACTTTGGGTACTATACCAACCACACCTAATATCATAACCTAACCTAAGGGTGTACTATTTTGTAGGTTAGGTAAGGTTAGGAAGATTTTGTTAAAATAATTGCAATCTCTTTTGGAAGTCGATTTGTCGGTGTGGTCGCTATAATACCAATGAACCGTAAAAGTTTTGCAGTATTGTTCAACAATGTAATATTTAGCGCCTTGTAAGAATGTATATTACAGTACATGTGCAGAGTAGGTGGGCCAGACGGAAGTGGTGGTGGGGAAATCTTTGGCCGTTTGTTATTTTGATTTACCGCCGCTCTGCGACCACTTTCATTGTACCTTCCCCGCGTTGGATAGTCTGAAACTACCCTTACAATGTGAAAGTAATAGAATTTAAACGTAATATTAGTTCAGTAACCAAGTTATATAAAACCCAGTATATGTTATAATCAGGCATTCTATACGTTGCCTAATGAACAAAAGTATTTTGGTCGTGGTTGTTTGTGTACATCAAATAAATTCTTGACTTCAGCAGCAATTCCCGCGTCCAATTGCGAGACCACGTAGTGAAACTTGGTGTCGTCGTTGGTAATTCCAGAAATAAGAAATTGCGAGTCAACTTGACAGAACCACAGACTTGGTTTTCAGGCCAAAAGGGCGGAAGTTTGACTGTTACTCTGTTGACCAACATGTTTTGAGAAGTGCTGGGTTGTCCAATCCATTGACGCAGTTCTTCATTCGCAGTTCCAAGTTCGGTGAGTTGAGTCTGCAGGTCTTCTAATGACATCGTTCGTGGTTGTTGGAGGAAATACAAAAGGTTTAAACTCTTCAAAGAAATTAACAGTCTTTAGATAACGGTTGTAGTCGGGGTCACCATTTTGGTCGTGGTTGTTTGTGTGCATCAAATAAATTAGGACCAAATAAGTAAGAGAAAAGTGTTTTAATAAAAGAGTTAAATTTTGTGTACAATCCTCTAGAAAAACAAAAACCAGACTAACTATAATGCGTTGCTATGACAACGTAACATCAGCTGACGCTACAGTATGAAATAGTGCTCATCATGTACTTTGCTTAGCCATTCTGTAGAATTACCATTGTAACTAAACTGCACTTTAAGTATAAAATACGTTTTTGACTTGTTTAATAACTTTTTATCATTTTTTTGCATTGACTTACTCAATATAAAATAGACTAACCTAACCTAACTATACACAAATTAAATCAATAATGTTAAGTATTTATTTTTGTTTACCTAGTTCTATATTTTGTTTTACACAACTGTGGGCATTCAATAGCCTAGGCAATATACACTAAGCCTAGTCAAAATGTATAAAATCCTATCGTTATTACCCCTTTTCATACTTTGTCTAAAGCTTCAGACATTGCATAGAATGACTGCATTATAATCTTCGTCAACAACACATATAATCTATAGTCCGACGTATGTTTTATACATAGCAGCTCAAAATAAACGATGCAAATTATTTGTGGTTCAAAATATTTTTTGCAAACACTAAAAATCAAGTGTGTAACTTCTCAAATTAAAATCATTGTGAAAAATACCATTTTTACATAGCATAGCCTACATTTGAATATAAACCAAATTTGCTCTGTCAAGTTAAATGAAAAATCATTTACAACTTATCGAGTTGGCAATTATTGTAAAAGGAATTTATCGAGACAAACCAAGTCTTCAAAAGTCTAGGAAGTTCTGAATGAAGTTATACAGATACAACTTCTTAACAAATACAAACTTCCTAAATTTCTCATGTATAAAAAATTCCACAGCTTCACTGGGATGTGTGTAAAGTGTTTCCAAATAAATAGATTGTCTATTACTTTCAAGTGATACAGTCAAATTTGTGGACGACGTTTGGGGCAAATAAAACATACGTTGTTCATTGAGCAAATAAAACATAGGCATCTTCGTAGCAGCAAACCTGAGCACTAATTAAATCTCATATTTTATTATTGGAAATAAATATGACTTGTTTATAGAAATATAAAAAAAATCTGTTCAGACAAACTGAAATTCGCTTAGTTAGTCCGTAGGATAGCTGCAGCGGAGGTATTTTTATATTCAGGTGAACAGATAATAAAAACTCAGAAATAAAAACAATGACGAAACACTAAACAAACACTCTCGTTGTACTTCTGCGAATAAATTAATGAAAATTATATCGTGTGATGATCCAAACCGCAGCACTAACTGCGTAACTAACTTCACGATTCAATAAGCAGTTGGAATTAACTTGAAGGATTCAATTAGATGTAGTGTAACACGCCAAATGTATGTTTATTACACCATATTTTCAGAAATAATTCATAACTATTACACATAAAACTGTGTAACAAAAGTATATTAATCCCTACACCTTCGCATCATACTGTAGAATACAGGTTAAATGTCCATCAATACTTTATATTAATTATTAAAAACTCTAAAAAATACTTTTAGCTCTCGGTAATCTTGAGATAATAATCGATCATGTATATTTTTGTGATTTACTCATCCTGACAGTTAAAATAATCAAAATAAACCTCAAAAGCAACTATCCTATAACCTTATCAACATAAAAAATATATTTAATTTGTTAACTCACAGCAAAACTAATTATATATATTTTTTGAAAATATTTCAATGTAAATCAAATTAGGCAAATGAAAATTAGCTTAGTCTGCAGGTATGCTGTGACGGGGTTGTTCCATTTTAACGAGTTGAACTTAATTGTTTGTCGTGTAAGATGATCTATATTGTAAGAGGCATATTTAAACTCAACTAAAATTCCCATTTTAGGAGACAAAAAGTACGAAACAGACTTATTTGGTACAGCCATTGACTATACAGTATAGACCTATACTGTATACTGTAGGTATATAGTCAATGATACAGCCCGCCCTTAACATGGCCGAACCTGGCTTGTGGTTGTAAAAATGAATTTAATTTTAACCTGTGATTAAAAATATTATCAAAACACCGTCAAATTCCTTCAGTATACAGCAATATTAAATTTTTTTATTTTCATATCGTACATGGGGTATGGATAGCAAACCGTAACAAAATATGATTTATGTCAACATGTCAGTTTAGTTTCTTGATTGCATATTCAAACTTCTCTTATGTTATTTTACAACAAAAATGGAAACGCAGTGATGGTAAAGAGAAACGAGTTTTGATGAGAATTTAGTGTCATATTTGGATTGAACGAAATGACAAAACCAAAATATCAGCCACTGATGGTTTATGATCGGCTTTTAAACCGTCAGTCCCACTCACAGATTTTCCGATAGTGTCAATCTTACTTTGACTGCAATAAAAGTAATGGCGCATCAAATACAGAATTAAATTGTGAAGCGTACATTTCCAGGAAATTCAACTCATTTGGAAACATCTCCTTAAACAGAAGACGAAACGATAGTTATACTTTAATTTGGTATACAGCCTAGGTAATCTAATTAGTTAGTTTTGTACGTAGCGACTTGGTTTATATAAACGAACAAAGTGCAGGGATTTAATTTTCAGAGTTCTTTGTTTCGTAGACAAACATGTGTATCAATACTTTCCAATAAATATTAGTTTGATTTAAAATTGTACTTTTGAGTGGCTCCAAATGCATTACCAGATTGTATAAGTAATTACACTTTTAATCAGAACTAGAGGTCGTCCAGTGGTCGAAAACTCAACCAAAAGCATCAATCTAGAGACTAATCTATTTCCACTCCACGCTAAAAATAAACATATGATTGGAATTTGTTCCATGTTTTTCTGTTTATATTTCGTTGTTATTTCGTCAACAGCGTGTCAACCGATAAGGCCCATGGCAATTTTATTTTTATTTTTAATTTAATTCGTTGTGCTTATTTTTGAGCCTATTTTAATTTATAGGCTAATAATTTAGGGGTTCTGCCAAGGCCGTGGTTCTGCGCACCTACAGGAAAATATCTATCTAACAGTAGGCGTAGATGTTCCCTACGATGCACACGAGTTGAGAAAAAAGTGTTTAAAGAAATATGCTTACCTATTAATATAGGTAGCTCTTTAAATCTGTCTAAGAAATACGCTTACCGGTATGAAAGACGATAAAAAATTTTTAAAAAAGGGTGTTCGTACATTTTTATACTGCACTGCAACCATTACAAAATGTACCGGCTGTAAGTAGAGTTATATTGTATTTTTAATTGCTGGGTGAAAATATGTTAGTTCTTTTAACTAACTTACTTTAAATGAATAAATTTCAATCAATTTTAACATTTTTCACTCTTTTAGAATCTTTTTTGAAGGTTTTTTACATTTGTAAGCGTTATTCAATAAATGGAAGCATAAAATGTAGAAACTAGGATATGCTAACGGACTAGGCGACTGGTAATCTAATTGTCCTATTAGAACAGGTAAAGATTATTCATTTCAATAACTTTAGTCAGGAGATTAACAAAATAACTTTCTGTTCCCAGATTGAAACGGGATGCCCACATCTGAATAATAAATGGTAAGTAGTTTCAAATTCAAGACATTTGGTTGCAATGTTTTGGTTTTCCTTCAATTCACAGCCTTGAATTCCCTTTGGGTGTTATTTTGAGAAATATACATGTCAAAAGAAGCTTGAGAACAAATTCACAGCAATTTCATCCCTACAATGGAAGAAACCCGCTTCGTTCGGATGAAAAGAAAAATAAGTGAGATGAACTGAGCTTGCAGATTCTACCAGATGTATTTCTTTGCTAAGCTCATTTCCTCTGATTTCTGTTTATGCTTCAGATAATTTTGTGTTCCTATTGAGTTAAATAATGATAAAACTTTAACTAAGCTTTTACATTTGTACCGAAATCTTTGAAATCTTGCTGTAATTCATCAATTCAACTATAACTTAATTAGGGACACAACCTAGGTGCGTATTTTAACCCAAATATGAGTTAAGGGTGAGTGTGGAATGGTGTGAGATGATCTGTGTAGCTTTGTTACTGACTAAGATCAGCTGTTTTATCAGTCAGAATAATGTATTTTAAACCCAATGATTAGGAACAGCTGATGTAGAAAATCTATTTTCATTATTCCGTATAGAAAATAACCATTCTCCATGGAAGCTAAATTTCACAGAAAAAATGTTTCTTCCAAATTTGTAAACAAGGTAAAAGCTGATTTTCCCTTGCCCTTAATTTACTCTCTGTTGCTCTTAATTTATCTTCCATTTGTTGACTAAGCGCCCTAATATTTCTTTGCAATGTATTTTTACCTTTTTTTACTTCTGTGTTTTATGGGTAGCAATAAATGACGTTAAGTAAGCTTAAAGAAACTTTGTTGTGGTGTTTTTCATTGGGATTGAAACGTATTGTTCATAAATTATACCAAATATGGCACTTTCTCCAAAGATTCCTATAATCGGCCTCGGTTCGTAAGATGAATTAAATTATTTCCGGCTCCGCATAACTCATAAAATCTTATCAGTATACCAAAAATTTCCAATTTCCATCGGAACTTAAACAATTAATTATTTTTATAATTGAAGTAGGTCAAAATTGCATTTCTGCTGCATCTGAGTACCGTTAGGGCATAAGCAGTGTGCAATTAATTTATTTGTTATATTTTTTTATTTCAATTTATTTATTTAAAGTCCTATTAGGCTCTAGAAAAAATGGGTCTGTCTGGCTTCAAACCATAAAAATCAACTGAATTGTCTCATAATCAATCCGGTATTTTTAATGGATGGTCCATCTATCTATGCAAGCTGTATCCACAGGTAATGCTTATAAATGCAAAATGTTACTCGATTTTATTTCTCATCTAGGAAACACGTTTAATAGACATCCGTGATACACGAGATATAGCTTGTAAGAACAAGAAGAGGTGCTTGTTAGTTTAAGTGACAGACATCAAGGCAGACGTTAAAGCATGTAATGGGAAGCTTAAACGATACGACTTAGAAGATTGTCTTCTTACCTGATTAGAGTTTCTTGAAAAAATCTCGTGCCGAAATGTACTGTACGGTGATGTAAGAGGTATTTTGAGAGACTTTATTTGAAAATAATAATAATAGAGGATGAAGGGGAGTGCATTTTTTGGAAATTTATTAAAAAATGCATCGATTGACTGTATGACATGTATGTATATATGGTAAAACTCGTTATTTTAACTAATCAATGGGAGTTTCCCGAAATACTTTCAAATTCCAAACCTGAATCCATAGGACTAACCTAAAAGGATAACAATCTTTCCCCAACCGCTGCAAACCTGCAGACTAAGCAAATTTCAATTTGGATGATCGGATTTAACTGGAAAATTCCTTAAACATGTAAGATTTATTCCCAATTTAAATTATATTACATTTGTAGTAAGTACTGAAGTTTGCTGCTACAAGTTATGTAGTTAGGTGTGATTTTTTGTTAAATTAAATTTGTTGGTATTTAATTTCGGAATATTAATTTGGTGATAATTGGAATGGTAAATTTGGTACACCAAATTTGGTTGGAATAATAAATATCCATTAACACACAAACTGCAATCATTGACTAGCAGTTTACATATTCTCCATACAAAAAACATGGGCATTTTAAATCTATTTTTTTATTTTCTCTTAAGCCATTCGACATAACAACATTGCTTGAATTTATTTAACTATTTTATTTCTGTTAGTTTTACAAAATTGGTTAGAAAAAAACCTGCACTACAACTGTATATATATGTTGTGTTCTTTGTTCATTGTATATTTTTAGGCCAAGCTTAAAATGATGATGAATACAATCGGCATTGTTCTCAATGTTTCCTGATGAGGTGCAGTTCAAATACTCATTAGGATTCATGCAGTTTTAACTGAATAAATTCATGCAGTTTCGTGGAATCAACATACAGCTGGGCACGAAATTAATTTGATTTAATTCCTGCTTAGCTTTCATACCAATGTTGTGTTTATTCATTAAAGACTATGAATAAATGTCTCTTTTTGAAAAACAAATCCAAAACCACCCTAAAACGAACAAAAGGGAAAACCGAAAATAACAGAATATCAATTACAGGTATTTCTCAACCACAGTTTTGCAGTTTCCTAATAAATAACTTTGATGTGTTATTGCATTTTGTAATATTTATGTAAAACTGATTTTGCCCTCTAAAACGTGCTAGTAAATAAAGTTAAATGGGCTTCGGTCCAAAACAAACTATGAACCTGATTAAATTTAGTGGTGTGCAGTATGTTTTTTCTTCAAAACGGTAAAAAGTGGAAGGATAACAAGTCAAAAATAAACTTTTCCTTTGGTAAATGTTTAACAAATGTCCTAACATAACCTAACCCGACTCAGTTTTGTGTCTTAGTTTATTCCAGCAATAATGGATATTTTTTACGTTTTGAAGTTACTTTAGATGGGGTGAGCAAGACTGAAATACACCAAAAAGGTTAGCAAAGCCATAATCATAATACTTGATAATTGTATGAAAAACATCATGTTAAATCATACAAATTTGAACTAAGCTAAAATAAGAATCTTATAAAAACTGTTACGGCCAGAAATATTGAATCGCTCTCATTTTCCATTTCCTTGAGACCGAAACCATTTTCAATCTCCGAGATGAACTTGTACACGTTTCCTCAGTCAGGAAATTAACCTTGAAAATTAATATCTTTAAATTTATTAGTTCTGACGATATTTAGTTTATTAATACATTGAATATAAATTTAATTAGACACGGAAATGTATGGTATATTCTTTATTACAAAGTTAACTGGTTTACAAAATAACAATAGATAGGAAAACATAACAAAAACATTTGACATAATTTCAGATTTTGTATAGAACCTAGGTAATACGCAGAGTAACATTAAACATACCCCTTTATGCATATGCCATTATTGTTAACTATTTATTTCTGCATACGCGTTCTTCATTATTGACTAGGGGGAGGCTAGGGCCCCCTTTTATGAGACCCCAGATTAATCTGTTTTAAGATTTAGCAGAAAAAAATATTTGACAATACAAATTTAGGTACGAAAATGTGTAAAATCAACTATTTTAAGCATTTTCTGGGAGAGAACCCCAGACACCCCTCCCTTATTTTAGGGGGGGGGGGTTCCGTACTCCAGCCCCCTTATGTAAAAGCTAGATGGACGCCCATGTTTCTGACTTTGCCAAATTTAAACATATTCTTACGATGTAAAACAGTCTGTGTGTAAGCTACACTTGTAGTATTAAAACTAACAAAACTTACCTAGAAAAAAAATACATTTGCATCAACTTACTCGCACGTCATGACTCCCAGTCACTAGAAATCGACATTACATCAAGGGCATCGAACTTTTAATAGGGTGTGAAATATACTTGTAGAACCCAGCAGCCCGTTAGTACATCATTTGAGAAAGATAAATATTTTATAACACGTCCACACCATTTAATGTAACGCATGCATTTTTGGACTGAGAAATCATTATTTTCTTCCCGTTACTTTCTAAGATACTCAGCTCAGTTAAGTGTGTGGAATATCGATAAACAGAATTAAATATTAATACCCAAGTTACTGTTCTAGCATTGATTTAAATTCTTATTTCCACTTGCAATTTACGTCAAAACTGACATGATATGAATGTTTTGAATAAATCTGTATGTATTTCGCGATCATTAGAGTTGGGACCATTGTACATTCAAATATAGTAATCCTAGGCCTACTAGTGTGCGATTTTCATTATCAATTCGTAAGATGAAAATTCAGAATCTGCATGAATATATTCATTTTTGTGTTTGCACAATGGCACAGTACAGTACGTTGTTTTAAAGTAGTGTTGCTGAATTCACCATAGGAAAGAATTATTTTCGCCTAAATTATTGGTTAACTTAAGGATGCCTTTGCAATAAGCCCTAATGTTACTTAAGGATTTTTGGGAATCAATTTATGGTATTTTTGTAATGTAAAAAAACAAAACGGAGATTGACAAAACTATTTTTATAAAAGAGTTAAATCTGAAGCAACTAGATGTAAATACACAATAGTTTAAAAATTTGATTTTCATGGTTTCTCAAAAAGATTTCACGTTTATTGGCTAGGTTTGTAATAATTCATTCCTGAAAAACGCAATATAAATCATTGTTATTGTTATGTTCTCTCAAAACCCCCCCCTCACCTTCGACTTCTAATTCACTCAGTAGGATAAACATGACACAGTTCATGAATACTGTTTATATTTAGATTTTTTTCTGTAGGCGTTGAAGATTGACTAGAGACCTTAGACACGAATATAACATAAATTTAAGCTGTCATTTTTAGCGCCTTATAAATAAATAATGAGACAGTTTTAAAGTGGTAATTTGTTAGATGGTGGCTAAGCTAAAAGCCTTAACAGATTATAAGGATTAACGCTTCGTTGTTCATGCTCGAATAAGGCATTATTAAACAAATAATGCCTTTTTTAATATAAGTTTTTATTTGATTTATTAGTGTTTATAATTAATCTTTTAAATATATTAGCAGAATTTTGTTTGAATACAAATTGATTTACTATATTATTCT